GGATATTGAAAAGTGTTGTCCTATTCTGATGATTTTTGTGTGTGTGGAAATCTAACATATGCCTCATAATCCCATTCACTATTTACAAAAGCCCTGAGAATAAATATCCCTTTTTGACAATGAACAGACTGTAAAAATAAGGGAATCTGAGACTAATATAGGACAACATAGCAAGTAAGTAATAGTAGAAACTTTAATCCGAGATACGGATTCCAAAGTGGAGTTTACTCCATTAGTTCCCAGCTCATCCAATCCAAGCTATAACAGTCCTCCCAAGTTCCATCACACTCTTAAAAGTCAAAGGGGGTGAGGGAAGGCTGATTAAGAGAAAAACAAGCATTTCTCCTCAAAGTACAACCCCATAGTTGGCATCCTCAAAACAAGCTTCGAATCAGTGCATTCCTTTTTCTCCATTGGGTAGCCAGTAATAGGTCATTCTAATCAACTCCTTATTCAACTCTCTATTCGAAATCACAACCTATCAAGCCCACCCAGCATAGCTAAGTCACCCTCTCATTCCTCCACAGAACTGAGGCATGTTTACAATTGCAAACAAGAAGACAGGGTATGAGCCAGAGAAAAATATCTAAATACAATACCATAAAGATTCAGGCTGTAACTGAAATAGAGACAGAGTATTCTCAGTGTTGATGGGCACTTCTTCACTTTCCATTTGTAGCATGAAAACTGACAATATCATTTAAATAAAATATGTGTTTGTACTCACTTTTGCAAAAACTTCAATTGTTCTCCTTCATCTTTGCAAACTTGGCAGGACTTTAATAGTTTCATTTAAGAATAACTTATGGTTGGTGGGGTTTCCTGGTGTTTTAAGGCTCCAATTATACTCCTTTTCTCAGGTTTCCCCCAAACTATACATAATGTCCATCACATAAAAGTGCAAATGCATTTATATTAATTTTCTTTAATTTTCATATTTAATTCCTTTCATTTAGACTACTATTATCATTATAAGAACTCGTCTGTTAAAATATGTTCCAACCAAAGCTTGGTAGGCTTTGAATGCTCAATAAAAATCATTCTCTGGGGCTAATGAAGACAGAAACTCTGCCTGTAACAATATTAAGTTTGTTTTCTCCAGTGATTCAGAGAAGTGAGCAATCTGTCAGTAATACATTGAGTGAAATTACTTGTCCTGTAGGAATAACTGCTGACAGTCACTTTATCTCAGAGCTGACCCAAACATCTCCCTGCTGACAAACAAATTACTATGTCTAACTTCGAAAAGGTAACTAGCTTGTTTTTAATTTTGATTGGTCTTTCAGGATCCCTTATACATACAGACTCAGTCTCATCCTTCACTGTATTTAAAAAAAAAAAAAAAAAAAAAGAAGCAACAAAAGTGTTTTGGGGGGACAGGTTTGAATTAATGAGTAAGAAAAAAAAGTAAAGAAAGAAAAGCCTTATCATTTGGAGCTAAGAAAAAGATCTGTTACTGCTTCTTTCCAAGGCCGTTATGAGATAAAACTGGTAAGTATGTCTACCCAACATTAAGACTGGCAGCGCTGCCAGTGACTGACTGGGTGAGTGAACACATTACCAAGACAGTATTGTAGGAATTAATTTTCTTCAATAAAGTGATTTTTAAGGCTCATATATTTCACAATCTAAACATATGTCACTGTTTCATAAACAAAATAAATGGATTAAAATAATACATTACCAATATGCTGACATGTGGAGATATTTTAATTAGAAATTCTTAAGCTGTGTGATATTTAACTGCTGTATTTGTTAAAGAGAAGCATGCATCATTTAATAAGAAGGCATGAGACAGGTGTATCACTTGGCATGACACGGTACCAGATTGTGTTTAATTTAAGCTACAACTCTGAGGCCACATTACTCCCAATTAAAGACAAAACGAAACGAAATCATTTTAAGGATCTATCATATTGAAAGTTACCATGTAAGATGAATCAATACACTGAAACCACTTTTTCCTTTTAAAAGAAGTCATTCAGAGTTTGGTTTCTAGGAAAATATTTCTTCAGAAACAACCTAACATCTTAGCTATTTAAAAGCCATATTTACATGACCACCTCATTATACTGGTTCCTCCTCTTCTCCTTACAACTTCCTTGAAGGACCAATGTTAACATAGCTGAGGAAAGCAAATGGCAACTGATCCTGAAATTTATATGGGTAGAGAATTGGAATAAGTAGCAATATAATATACTGTTTACTGTAGCAAGTGCTCTCTGTTCTCTAAAGGTCAAAAGCACTGTAACCTTAGAGTTACAGTTTCTGATTGTTCCCAGGGTTAAATACATTATCAAAATTAATGGTTTAAGCCCCTCAACCTTCAGATATATAAGTATTCATGGCTCCATCTGCTGAACTGTTCAACTAAAAATAGCATTCTTTGGCCTGCTCTCTTCTAATATTGTGCCCCTGAGGCAGAGAGAACCATGCCTCAGATTAGCACAGAAAACAAAAAAAAAAAAAAAGAAGAAGAAAAAAAAAAAGAAAAAAACTTTCCTGCATCTTCCTTATCTTAAAGAAAGAACTGGCATACACTAATGTAAAGAGGGTATTTTTTCACTTTAAATACCTTTTCTCTACTTGATAACAATATTTCAGGCTCAATATTTTTGAATGACAAATTTATTGTAATGTCAGATAGGACCAGTTCTGAGCAATGCTGAGGGTGTGTGTGGAGGTGGTGGCATGGTGGCATGGTGGCATGGTGATGGTATGCATGCATTGTGGACTTTTCTTCCTGAGAATTTCTGTTTAGAAATAAAACCAGTTAACATAATTGTAATGCTTCCTTAGTATCAACAGTTTATCATGATCATGATTGTTGACAGAGCTGTGACATTTTAGCTTGTCAAAGGAGCAGAGAAAATCTTAGCTAGAAAAGAACGTAGAGTTTAAAATCAATAAAGCAAGATATTATTAAATATTCTCTCTGCTCTTGCTCAAGATTTAAAATGTTAATGTCTATAGCAGCTTAGATATGAGTATCTACTACGCTGTTCAAAAACATTCCCATAAACATGTTATACCAGAAAACTTTGGGAAACATGCCTTTTCAAACAAGGTCAATCTTTTCTAACCAGTATATCATACAAGCAAACAGAACAAAGCTTCCCTGACATGCAGTGAAAAGTTGCAAAAAATAGAAGCAGGAAAAATAAAAAAACCAGGAAACTCTCAAATCAGCTCAAACTTAAACTACAAAGCTATGAGGGCTCCTGCTTTAATGGGTTTTCTATTATTTAGCCTAATAAAAGTGACAGACATTTGGCATTATGTTGTGCTTCTAGATCAGCATTGCTATAGCAATACCCAGATTTAGCACTCATGTATATGATGTTATGGTTTTGAGAAATCCAACAGAAGCCAGATTTGACAGCATCAGGAACCAGAGATGTTTTTGAGGAAAGAAGTCAACCTAAGTGAAAAACTAGTAAAAGAAAAGACCAGGTAGAAAACTGGCTAAGGGAAGGTTTATGGGCTGGAAATCAACACCTCAAGAGAAAATAAAAGTCAAAGAGTAGAGGAAGTCTTGCATTCATGCCAAGGCCACCTGCTTTCACATTCTATCAAGCACTTAAAAGTTTCACAAACTCTCTGTCTTGAGCACGTCAGCTTGCTAACCATCATCACATAGGAGGGCCTGCTGCTAATGTCCAGGTATCTATCTGTTAAGCAGTCAATCCCCAACATGGCAGACTTTCAGAGTGTCTAGAAACATGGCACCTTTTCTACATTCGAAAGAAAGCCTTAGAAAAGAAATCCCTTCTGGCTGTATAGAAGACAACAGATATTCTGACAGTATATGCCTGGTCCTGCCCGGGTGGAAACCCCCTGTGTACCTTTTATATCAAAGGGAAAAGGGAAAAGGGAGGTGGGCAATGAATTCTGGAACTCCTCCTTAGGCAACTTCCAAGGTGGACTTTGATTTTGTCTTCTTCTTTCTTCTTACAAGTGAGCTTTATCATTTTCCAAAAATGCAGATTCAAAAGGCACAGAGATGTCAAAAGGACCCTTTACTGAGTACATAGTTTTTGATATGTATAGACTAACAGAGCCAATAAGAGCTGAATATACAACTTTGCTAGATGTAATGATTTTCTTTTTTTTTAATCGAATTTCCCATCCTAGTTTAGAATATGAAATTTAAAAAGTTAATTGTGTGCTTCAGTCTGAGGTAACCTGTCTCCATTTTCTTGGCAACTTTCCAGTATCTGATAGTCCCAGAGGGGGACACCAGTGAGACAGGGGAGGAATTAAGCATGAAATTGTAGAGAGAAGGATTGGGTCCCTATAGAAGAAAAGTACTTGGTTTTTCAAAAGAGCCACATATGCCACCTTCTGCCAAGTAGTAAGACTATCCCACGAAAATAACAAAGAGCTTTGCTGAAAGTCAAATATGAAAAGAATAACTATAGAAGTTTATGGGGCAAAAGGCAATTTCTGGCCCAAGCACCTATCCCTACTTCAGCCTGAGAAAACTAAACTAGGAAACCTGAGTTAGGTAGAGTTAGAAATCCTGGGTAATAACTCCGACTCCATGAATATAAGCCTTGGTTAAATAACTTGACCTCTCTAAACGTCTGTCATTTTGTCTGTACAAGCAGAATTATATTCTATCAACTTTACAGGGTGGTTCTATGGTCAAATGAGATTTAAAAAAAAAAATGTTTAAGTGTTTTTTTTTTAAACACAGTACAGTACTATACATTAAAAAATAGAAGAGTAAGAGAAATAAAGATTGTTTTGAAGACATTCGTAATGTAAAGAATTTGCCTAAATATATAGCAATAATCTAATTCAGGGACATCAATTTGAGGTTTGTCTTTCTTTCTTAAAGAAAAGGAACAAAACTGAGCCTCCTTAGGAGTGAGAAAAAAGGAAAGGTTACATTATAGTGTTTAGGTTGAGTGTTTGCCACTTTTTTAAAAAAGCCTAGAATATGACTGAACAATCCAGTCCCCCACCCAATGAAGCACCCATGGAAGTATTCATACCTCAATCTGTTTGTGGTTGTAAGAGTGGCCACCACCATGTTCAAAGGTGTCCAAACTCCTGCCAAAACGGTCACTTAGGCCCTTTAGCCTTGGGTTAATTTGTGGGTGGGAGACATGACCCTTCTGTTTAGTAGCATATTCAGAAAAAAAAAAAAAAAAGACAAAACATACTGTCAGAACTCATGAAATAGAACACATACTTCTAAACCCAGGGTGTTGACCACATCAATGAATAGAAAGTAGAAGGTTTAAGACCCGGATGCTCTTTCATAAAAACTTGGTTAAAAGATCAAACAACGGTACTGGTTCTTATTTCTGCCTCTGATTCAAGGATACTGTATAGCATAGCTGTCAGAAAAGGAGAAATAAATTAGATTTCTTATGAGTGAGGTTTCTTTCTAGATTTTACCAACTTCAGTAAGTTTCAGTGTTAGTAGTGGGGAAGCTGAAGGTTTGGAAGAGAAATAGCACTGCTGCTTCTGTTAGTCAAAATTTGTAGTTCTGCTACATAGTCCATAACAAGTAATATCTTTAAGGCTTTCTGAATGAGGCTTATGATAAACAGTTCTCAAAGTACTGAAAATTTTTTATTTGCAGACCCAACTGAAAATGCGCAAAATGGTTTTTTTGGATGATAAAATATTTGTACATTTTTTATGTTCATGTCATATAGGGAATAACAAAGAAGAAATAAAAATGCCTAGCCAGATGCTATTCCTTAGATTATTTAAGAAAACTCAAAAATAATCACAGTAAATTATAAGAATAAAATACTATCTTTTCGCTGTTGAAATTCAAAGTTATTACATATTTTCAAAATATTCAAATTCTAAAGGTTTAACCATTATTTCAATGATACTACCTTTTTGTTAAAATAAATACTCATTTTTAAAGTCAATTTCCCATTAAAGTGGCGTGCCAAAAGAGTATCAAGAGCACCTAGTCCTAATGTAAACCCTTCATTCTACTGTGAAGGAGATAAGGTACAAACGGTTTTTTATTCAACTCCCTAAACACTTTCTCCCCAAGTTTAGCTTTTAAGTAAAGAGCGCTTGGTCAGACACCATGCCCACACTTTTGACCTGGCATGAGGAAGAGGATCAGGATGAGGCTGCACATTTTCAGGTGCAATGTGTTTAGATTTTACTAAATAGCTAAAGTAATTTGGTAATAACAACCCCCTATTCTATGAGCTGCAAGAAGGAAAACATCCAAAATTGTTTTCTGTTTTGATGCTTATGTGTAAAAGCTAATCTGGACATAAATGAAGACATGGATGGAAAATTGATATGGAAAAAGCTAATATAGTCAGTAACAACTAACCATAAAAAAAAAAAAAAACCTTGTAAAACCATGAATTCATCTGATAGAGAAGATATAGTCATAAGTCATTACATCATTTTTCCTTTAAAAAATATTGAAACTGGCAGTTTTCTCTTCTATTTGCAGTATGGTAAGTACATAAGGTGTTAATCCTTCTAGGCTATGCTTAAAAAATTATTTAACATTCAGGCCATTATTTAGCATACAGCTGGTTAGCAGTTTTCCACTAAAGTTCTGGCTCATGTCCCACATTTTTTTCTTCTGGCACTTACCTGGAGCTGTAAAGGGCTGAGCCCAGAAGCAGCAGCAGCTGCCATTGTTGATGGAATGAACTGTACGGGGTAGTTATCACCTGTCGGAAAGAACAATGCATACAGGTTTAGACAATGCACAGGGAATAGCAGCAGACAAGTACAAACATGGTCCTTGGATTGCCTGAGCTTTACAACACTGCTCTAAGCCCAAACATCTGCAGAAACAAAAGGCTTAGTTGGGCACAGACTTGCAGTGCTGCCTTGGAACTTTTTGTTAACAGATAGCTGGTAGGCAAACTGGCAAAACATGAATGTGATGTTAAAAAATTAAATGTGCAATTCAAGCATGTTCACTCCATTACAAATCTTGTAATACATCATTTTTTTTTAAGTAAAAAAAAAAATCTTAAAGCCAGGCTGACACTCAGTTCACTGAAAAGGCTTTTATATTAGAACAACAAAAAGTTTGGCTTGGTACACAAGGCAGAGCATTCGAGTCCAAGAAAGAGTATGAGCTATTGACCGTCTATAACCCTAAACTTTATTTTATAAAAAATAGGAAAAAAAATTTTTAAAACATCCTTTTCAATTTGATAGGGTGAGAGAGAAGCTAATCTTATCTGCCAACATTCTTTGAAATGCCTGGTATCCCAAAGAGAGAGGAAACCTTATTTTTCTGGATTAACTTCTGATGGATCCTAGTACAGAATCATGCACACTACGCACTTATCACTTATTCTTTGATGATGATTTCATTAAATAACCATGCATTTTACATGGAACATCTTCATTAAAACTCTGGTAGAGATTGAGCATGGTTCATTTTTCAGCAGAGATCAATGCTACATCTTAATGTGTTTCTGACTCCACACCACTCCTAAATAGGAATGAAGTACTGTCTGTGACCTAAGAACACAGGCTGTGTGCAGTGACCAGGAGAACCAAGAGAAAATGATGAGGAATGTACTGTGATAGTGGTAACTGAAAGCAAAATTAATACTTATGGATAAATTACACAATATCAGTGATTTAATGGAGTATCACTTTGGCTTCAGCTACTTATTTAAAGTCAGTGTTATGTACTATCTCTAGGCTATATTTTAATAGGCTGTTCCTCCACACATTTTTGACATTTATAATAATCATACGGTTTTGCATGAACTTTTCCACACTGAAAGCTGAATGCAATAATGAAGAGACAGTATAGAAAGAATCACAGTAATAAAGGTAGTCAACTGGAAAGCAACAAAACCTCTTCTTTCTGCATGGACACTAATACCTGGAGCCTTCCTGATGCCCCTGGTTCCTTGGAACTCATCCTGCTTGCCACATGAAGTGCTACTCAGCTGGACCAATGTAAATGTTAAGTTGCTTTCACTTTTAACAAATTGTTAGCTTCTAATCTACACAGTCTCTTTGCATCATATCCATAATACCTCATCAGACCATTGAGCACAGTGTGTGCTTGTACACAGTCCAGTAACAATTGGCTTCTGATTGCATATGGAGCGCTGCTACAATGCATTCACTAAACTATATTGTGCTGATCTCCTATGGAGTAATGTTCAAAATATCTGATCTTGTTTTTCCCCTTCCATGAGGTTGATTTTGTTTTGCAGTGTTACATGAGCTTTTTAAAAAAGATAACTAGGCCAAATTATTTTTTATAGTAAATGACTGTCGCTTTATGCTTAAATAATTCTACTGATCTTCTTGATATTTAAACTAAATTATCTGATGAAAGAATATCCCTAAACTAAGTAAAATAGTATTTCTTTGGTCAATATCTTATCAGGTTAAAAAAATCACAAAGCGATGCTGAATTAATGATGCTTCAAAAATAGGGGGAAAAAATCACCATTCCAACCATCAGCATGGACTGCCTCCCGGAACATTTTAGAGCTATTCTTTCTTTAAATATCATGCATTATTCATACTAACTCTAAACCACAACCCCTCCTCCCTGTAAGTTTAATACCAGTTGCTTTATTTGTACTAAAACATTTTTCATGTCAAACATATTTTAAAAAATCAAACTCTAAAAGAATTCCCTGGGGCACTCCTTTTTTCATAGCTGTCATGCTTCTATGCTATGAAATAGCTGATTTTTTAAAATAGTTTTTGGCTTGCCAGTTAATTTATTACTATCTCTACCACACCCTGTAGTACTCTCCAGCTCACCTGCTGGCTACAAACAGCTTTCTTTTCACCGCTGACAAGCATATTTTAAAAACATTCTTAACCTTTCTGCTGGTTTGAATCTCTATATCTAAATATAATCCTTGGAAAGGTATTTCTCCAGAACATATCATTGTATTGATACTAAAAGTAAAAATGAATACATTAGAGCAGCAGAGAATATCACCAACAATAATTAGAAGAGAGAAAAAGGAAAAGGCAGGAGAGGAAGAAGATAAGAGCAAAGGAAAGAGAGGGGTTAAAAGCAGAAGGGGAAAATATAAGAGGGAGAGGAATTTAGGGATTGTAAAGTTTCTTTTTTTTTTTGGTAACAAAATTACTTGTTCTTCCTCCTCAACCCCCTCTTAATTTTCTCTGTGTAAGAGTCTATCAAGTAAAAGTTCTCAGTGGCTGCCTTGGCAAGGAATCAGTCAACATGTTGTAGCAATTTTTTTCAAATTTGTCTCTGGATTTGAAATGCTTGCGTGAGGACCCATTCTTTTTAAATGTGTACAAAGGAAGACGAAGCCTGTTGGAACAGGCTGGTTTTAGGCACTGCTGTAATCTGGCCCTTGCTACCTCTGGTGTAGGAAGACAACCTCAAAAAGCCAATTTGGGAAATAATACCCATTCCGTAAATCCATTTTTCCAGCCTTCTGGGTTTTCCAACTATTTTTACCTGAAGATTATAGAACAAATAGAAAACAGATTAAAAACCTATGGAGAAGTTGCCTGACTTTAGTTTCATTTGTCACAATAGGCAACATTCCTTTGGAATGAAAGTAGCTCCACAGCAAGAGTCCTTAGATGAGAGAAGGTATATTTTTTAATTTTCAAGGAAACTGAAATGAAGGCAAAAACTTATTAAGACTTAAATACAGGAGAATCTAGGACCCATTAGGCTCAGGCTACCTCTTATAAGAGTACTCCTAGTTTGTGTAATTCAGAAATATATATATTTCACTTTTATTAAAGAGTTCAAAATCTTATGGTAAAATTCTGTCCATTTACTTTGATTCTTCGGAAAGACAAGGGATGGTCTGAGATATTAACTTCAAATATTAACCAACTAAGGAAATCATTTAGAGAGATTGAGAGAAGTAGAAAAGAAAAATAAATTAAACTAGGAAGACAGGATTCAAAGATTCTTCAGTAACTGGCTCAAAGTCTCATTCCTCATTTTCTACCCTCCAAAACAGAAGAAAAACTATACTATACATCCCTAACTATCTCACAGATTATTGTGTAGTGATATTATAGAATGATGGTAAATTATTTGAGTTGCCAAATAACTTATAGATAGACTCCACTGTTGTCATTCTTGCTATAATGTGGAAATATTCCAATCTTTATCACCAATATAAACTTGGACATGCCACACTGCATCTTGTCTAGATGTACGTATTTAGAATAGCAAAATATTACAACTCCTTTATATTCTGAGAGAATGTCATAATCAAGCTGAATTTATCTTTGTGAGACAGCATATTGCATCAAAAATTAGCAGGTAATGGGTGATACACTTAGAATCTTAAAAATGAAACAAAACCATTCATTTCTTCTGAGGACAACTGGATAAAATTTGGCAAGAATTATAGTGTATATTGATGAGCTCACCATGCTCTTATTTCTCTTACTAAATTTCTCCTTCTCTATTCATCAAACAATAGATCAATGATGAGAAGAGTCTTGATCGTAGGACTTTTTCTATGAGCATGTACATTATTTTTCATACTTTTAAAGAGCTAAGAATCAAGGATCAATCTTAATGTCTTTACTTGTTTCATAAATGCATCCAGACCCTTGACCAATGATATGAAAATCCATGGAATGTGTCACAATAGCAATTAATTAAGTGAAGGTGGATTAACTGATATAAAGTCATCCCATTATAAGAAATCAAATTAAAATAAGAAGTCATAGTTCATGCCTTAATGACAGCTCACCCATGATATAGCCTCCATAGTTAAAGGAGGGCAGAGTTAAAATGATCTCTATAAAACCAAGTTAGTTTACGTGGGTGAATATATTTTCTTCTTGGACCTCAACATTTTCATTTAAAAATGAGAATATGAATCTGAAGAACCACAAATGCTTTAATTTCAAGTAGATAGATTTAATCAAGTTTTCCAGCAACAGTGGTTACACACCTCTGCTTTAATTCTAGAAGAGGTAGAAATGGCTAGCTTTACAAGAAAGCATTTGGATAACTCCGTACATATAAATCTCATTGTTTCCAGAGCAAAAAAAAAGCAGCTAGACTTTTCTTAATATCGTACACACTTTAACCATGTCTGCAAGAGTGTAAAATCTCAAATCAGAAACTTGAATTTAAATTCTATCTCCACTAAGTTAATCAACTTCTTTGACTTTTAGGGTTTTTTTCTTTTAACAAAAAACAGAGATAATGCCATTTATATCTTAGAAGTTATATCTTATGAAAATTAAATGAGAATATATACTTATATATATTTATATACATTTATTTTAGATAAATATATGTCATTTATTTTATATAAATATATATCATTTTATTTATATAAAATTTTATATATATATGTATCTTGACAAATAAATGGTGCTCAATAAATACTAACTGAAACAAAAGAATTAAAAAGAAGCACTAGGTAACAATTACACACCAACAAATTAGAAAATTCAAGAAATGGACAAATTTCTCGAAACACACAAATTAGCTAAGCTGAATCAAGAAGAAATAAAAAATATCAACAGACTTATAACAAGTAAAAAGATTGAATCGGTAATCAAAAACCTCCCAACCAAGAAAAGTTTTAGACCAAATGGCTTCACCAGTAAATTCAATGGAACATTTAAGAAAAGTTAACACTAATTCTTCCCAAATTTTTCAAAAAATTGAAGAAGAGGAAACAGTTCCTAACTATGAGGTAATAAGGCCAAC